TGGAATTATATTATTCACAAAAAGCACAAATGAGATATAGAATCAGTTAGCATAGGAAAATATTAGTGCTCAAGGATAAGCATTTCCAACTAGTTAATTACTTTTTCCTACACTATATAATACATCACATTCAACGACTCAAACTCAAACAAACCCCTCACACATATTCTTTACCTTTAATTTCCTCTCTCTTTCTAATAACAACACATAACTACCTAATTATTCTCTCAATTTTCAATGGATCCATCCCACATAGTTGCTTATGCAAACTTCAATTGTGAAATAAAAATAGTACAAGCTCGAAACGTTGAATTCATAAAGTCCACTAAGAACTTGTTTGCTAGGTTGTATGTTCCAACAGGAAACAACAAAAGAATTCAACTCAACAGCAAAAATGTTTGGGACAAGTCTTTTAATCTAGATTGTTCTTGCCCTGAAGAATTCTTGGAAAACCTTAATCAACAAAGCCTAGTGTTGGAGCTAAGACAGAGGAAGATGTGGGGGTCACAACTTATTGGAAAAGGTGAGATTCCATGGAAGGTGATTCTTCAATCACCAAACATGGAGTTAAAGAAATGGCTGAAAATGGATTTGAAGAGTGGAAGTGATAGCAAAGAGGTTATATTGACAACACCAGAAATGGAAGTAGAGATTAAAGTAAAAGTGTCTTCAGTTGCTGAGATGGAGAAGCAAAATAAAAGGAGATATCATAATTGGAATGAGTGTGGATGTAAAAATGAGCACGATCATAATACTTGGTGTAATGCAGAAGATTGTGATATGTTTGCGCTTGGTGCAGCTTTGGAAGCTTTTTGATTTTCATGCAAGATTCCGCTATGAACATATAAACTAACATCAACTAATTCACTTATCATTGTATTGAATAGATTTATTTTGACAAATTTATAATAGATTGATTCTATATTAACTCTCAAATGCATTATCTTTTAATTTTATATATTGGAGTTCTTTTAGTTTATGGTTAATTTGTTTGTAGCAAAATTTTATCATGATAATTTAAATCTCGTTTTTCATATTGGACATATATTTTTCTTCTTAATTCTTTGATTAGCATTCTTCCAAAAGAGACTTGTTTGAGGAAGGATTTTCAGCCGGGAAAATTCTTGTTGGAGCCATTATGATCATAATAGTGGTGGCAAAAATCATAAACTCACACATACAAGAAAAGAAAGAAAGTTTGGGATGCAAAAACAAGGGATGAGTGAGTATCTTTATATATACACCAAAGTTTTTAAATTTATTTTCATGAGAAAATCCATAAAACCAAAGTTTGGTATGTGTATGTGATTATAGATGATTTTGGGTTCACGTGGATGAAGTTTATTAGAGATAGATCCTACATGTTTGAAGTTTTCAAAGATCTGTGTACAAGTATTCAAAAGTAGAAAAACAATGTGATTGTAAAGATTAGAAGTGATCATGACAAGGAGTTTGAGAATTAGAATTCTCAGAGTTTTGTGATTCTAAAAACATCAGTCATGAATTTTCTTACTCCATCACTTCTCAGCTAAATGGAATTGCTGAACAGAAGACCAGAGTGATACAAGAGTCAGCTCGAGTTACACTTCATGCTAAGCAATTGCCATTGGAATTTTGGGATGAAGCTATGAATACTGCGTGTTATATCTATAACAAGGTCACATTGAGAGGAGGTACTTCAATTACTGTGTATGAGTTATAGAAAGGAAGGAAACCTAAAATAATCAATTATTGGCATGGGTATCCGAGTTTTTAGAAATTTTATTTTCATCAAAATAATCATTGATTCTTAAGGGTGAGGGAGAGAGGAAATGATTTGTATAGGTGCTTGAGATTATGCATAACAATGAGTAAAAATGATGTTTGCTTTGAGTAATAAGAAAAAATATGATTTTAGTTACGTGACAAAGTGATTCGAATCAAGATCTAAATTATATGAGAAACTCATTTATATGATCCAAGTTACTATTCGAGTCTTGATACAATTAATGACTCGAGTCATGAAACGCTATTCAAATCAAACAAGACAATGACAAGTCATGAAAGTGCAGCTAGCCATCTATGATTCGGGTCAAGTGTAACCCATGATTTGAATGAAAATGTGCTATAATTTGAATCATGAGAGCTATGACTCGAGTCATAACAATTTCAAACATTTCTTGAAAGCTTCTGCTTTGTGTGATTTGAGTCATGGGTGTGTGATTTGAATCACACCCCTAAAATCTCAAACTTTTGCAACTTTAAAGAGATTTTGAAATTCTACCAATGTCATGACTTGAACTAATCTTAAATATGGTTATTGATCCAAAAACTCCAAAAAAGTGTTTTAAAGCATATTACTCAGACTAAAAAAACAAATAGTTTGATTTATGCATGAAAAAAAATACATTTTAATATAAAATACTATTTAAAAAGCATTGCATTTAACTCTAAGATATTCACAAAGATCTAATTTAAAGAAGACTCAATTACGAAAGCCATCAGTGAGAAATGATAATAAATTAGACAAGTAACAATCCCAAAGCCTTATAGGGAAGGGCAATTTTAGTTAGGCCCTAATTAAGAGATCATTTAGGCTTCCGACTCTTTCCAACCCTCAGCCTCTTCTTAAAAAAAGAGTCATCGAGGAATTGAGCAATAAAAGAGTCATCAAACTCCTTTTAGGAATTGAGCAATAAAGGCTCATTTGAGAGTCATTACAAATATCTTACATTTCACAGCTTCTTGGACATGGTAGTAGTCAAGCATGGTGTATATTTGCTTGATATGTTCATACGGATCTCTCGTCCCAATGTAGCTGTCCAACTTTGGAGGTTTTTTCGGGGACTGTGGGACCTTACTCTTGAGGAGGTGCATGAAGAGCGAACTCTTCCTCCGGTTAGGAACATGTACTTTGACGTCACACCTATCCCCTTTTTAGGAGTGATGTGACACAGAACAAAAGGTACAAAGACTCCCTAGTAGATTATTACTGCCACCTATTCCTCTAAAATCATGTAGAGGAGTCTAGTGTTCTTGATGCCTGATAACATATGGTAATTTATGTGCTCCTCAATAAGAAAAAATAAAATCAACATAGATCAAATATGGTGCAACTCTCTGGTTGGCACATTAAGCTTATTTGTATACAGAGTGATCCATGGGGGAAACGTGTTTTAGATTCACATTAATCCGAAGAAGTCTCTCAATCAAGAAGTGTGAGTTCTACTATTTCACTAGGTTGTAAATATTGTTCAGTAGATCGTTATCCTCTTGCATGCCTAAGTTGGATAGAGTTGTTGGATGTTTTGAATCATCTATTGTCTAGAAATTTGTGGTGGTGCCAAAAGTAATTGATAGAAAGAGTGAAAGGTCAAGAGAACTTGAAACATTTTTTGCCCGATTGTCTAATGAACTATATTCGAAGGAGTATGACCAAAAGGAGAAGTGATCAGGACTGTATCGTCCTTGACTGTAAGAGGAATTAGAACCTTAACCTTAGGATCAAAAGTGTTAACTATTGTAGCGGTTAAGATGGCATGGCTGCGTTGGGAAGCTAATCGAGTAGATTTCAATGTTTCTGTGGTTTTCACGATATCTATCAAATGTTCTAACATAAAGAATATCATTTGTTGCTAAATCGTGGATATTCTAAGAAATTAGATATCGATTCCCACAGGACACCAATGATACCTCCAGTCCGATCCATTGTGGCTATGAGGTACTGTCATTTGGATGTGTAAATCCTCACAACTTTTTCCTTTTGAAAAGACTTATCACTGTGTAAATGAGTATGGGTGTTGTATATAAACTACACTTGCCTCGATTCTCAAGCAATTTGGGATTATTTTGACCAACCAAAAATAGTTTCCGCCAGACCAGGCTAAGGGGAATGGTGTGATCTTCGAGTTCCCCTAGACGATATCAATGTCCTATTATGGAATCAAGAATAAAGAGCAAGATCTTGGGCAAATCTCTCGATACATTGGTGAGTGCTTCTCGATAAGACGATACAGAGTGAATCTGCAAAGTTAACACTCCAATGTCTAATTCATTGAAGTATTCGAGAAAAAATTTAGAGTGAGTGAAAAAAATACCTAAAATTGGTGCATGTGGTGGAGCGTATATAAGACAAATGGTTAAAACCACTCCTATTCAACCGGACACGTTGTGTGGAAAGTTGTTAGATAGGATCTAATGGGGGTAGATAGGTCATAGCCGGAGTTGCATGCTTTGTGCTTGAGTGAGATCTTACTTGTTGCTTGTTATTTGCTCCCTTCGTATTAGGTCACATGATTGGGCCTTTAGTCATGTGACTTAAACATGGCCTAGAGCAGGAATATATCTTAAAACTTGAAAACACATCCTTATAAAAAGTGATAACAATTATATAAGATGGTGTTACATTATCTGTAAATATATACTACACTCCATCTTAATTTAATATGTACTTTTTATGAGTTGATAACAGATTTGAGTTTTATAATGTTATTTGAGATAAAGTTTCATGTATGGCCAGTACTGATTCTTATGTTTCATGTTCAACATTTTGCAATGCTTTACAACTAGTGTGAGTGAGTTAGAAAAGAATGGCCACTGAGGTGAGAGTATTAGCTTTCTCGATGGCAGTAAGATACTCTTGATTAGTAGCCAATACCATGTGGCGACTTGCATGAGCCAAATTGGAAAATCTAGCCTTTCGAGATTCGAAAGGTTTTCTTTATTAAGATATAATCTTCAGCACAATCTCATGTGCATATTTAAGATTAAGTTGGTATTAAAATATTCACATAAAGAACAAATGAGATATAGGATCAATTACTATACCTTATACAAAAATATTAGTGCTCAATTTCATGGAAAGCATTTTCAACTAGTTAATTACTTTTTATACACTATATAATACATCACACTGAACTACTCAAACTCAAACAAACCCCTCACACATATTCTTTACCTTTAACTTCCTCTCTCTTTCTAGTTACAACACATAACTACCTAATTATTCTCTCAGTTTTTCAATGGATCCATCCCACATAGTTGCTTATGCAAACTTCAACTGTGAAATAAAAATAGTACAAGCTCGATACGTTGAATTCATAAAGTCCACTAAGAACTTGTTTGCTAGGTTGTATGTTCCAACAGGAAACAACAAAAGAATTCAACTCAACAGCAAAACTGTTTGGGACAAATCTTTTAATCTAGATCATTCTTGTTCCCAAGAGTTTTTGGAAAACCTTAATCATCAAAGCCTAGTATTGGAGCTAAGACAGAAGAAGATGTGGGGGTCACAACTTATTGGAAAATGTGAGATTCCATGGAAGGTGATTCTTCAATCACAAAACATGGAGTTGAAAAAATGGTTGAAAATGGATTTGGTGAGTGAAAGTGACTGCAAAGAGGTTATGTTGACAACGCCAGAAGTGGAAGTGGAGATTAAAATAATGGTGTCATCAATTGATGAGATGGAGAAGCAAAGTAAAAAGAGATATCATAATTGGAATGAGTGTGGATGTAAAAATGGGCATGACCATAATACTTGGTGTAACGCAGAAGACTGTGATATGTTTGCGTTTGGTGCAGTTTTAGAAGCGTTTTGATTTTGATGCAAGCTTATGCTATGAACATATAAACTAACATCAACTAATTCACTTATCATTATATTGACAAAAATATAATAGATTGATTTTATATGAACTCTCAAATGCATTATCTTTTAATTTTATATGTTAGATTTCTTTACATAGTTTATGGTTTCTCTTTAAGCAAAATTTTGTCATGATAGTTTAAATCTCCTTTTTTTTTGAACATGAAAATTTGTTGTCTAAGTAAAATAAGTGAAGTAAGTTTAAATAAAAGTATTAATAAATGACATATAAAACACAATTATATATACGATCAAATTGTGTATATTGGGAACCAACACCTTTTGTAAAAATTTGATATTGTAATGCTCTTGTTAAATTGAAAGGATAAATCTTATTAGGAGAATGCAATGAACACGACTCTGCTGTCCAAGTTCCTGCTCTAACCCGATTCAGGCTGTAAACATTATTGGTGAACAAAGATATATAACAATTATCAATTGTTAGTTGTTTTAGTGATGATTGACGTTGGGTTTGGTAGAGAGGACCATTGTTTGATCCCCCATAACAACAATCGGAAGGGGATTGGAACCACTTAATGCTAGAATCGACCCACGAACCGAATTAGTTGGTTGTTTAGTTTGGAATTCTCAACGTTTAGGAATCGACAAAGAGGATACGACGCTAAAACTATACTTAGTTAAAATGAGGATACATGGTGACATGTTCGACAAGATTAGCGTTCGACCATAAATGTCGAGTTCGACGCACTTACTGGTGAGTTTTTGACTTAGTATTTTTTTCCAGATGTTGAGATGGCTCTTCCTCAAAACTCGAAAGGTTGAGTTATCAACCGTGACGGTTGAGGCAAAGTAAAAAGTATTAGATTGAATAAAAGATGTTTAATCTTATCCAAACATCGAACACACGTGGAAATATGGTAGAAGATTGGAAACTTCAGAAGAGATTACGCGTCACATAGTAGAAAAATAGTCGTTGCAGACAATTATTTTTACATTAGTGTATACAGTGGTTCTAGTGTTAGAAATCAGGTGGCAATATCATTACAAAAACTCTATAGAACTCAAACTATCCAAGATAAAGCGAGAAGCGAGTTTGTGAGAAAAATGTATGATTCTGTGCAACAATTTTTCTTTACTTAATTAAAGAAAATTTTATTTTTCCTTTACTTTGTCTCAAATTTATTACTTTTCCAGTTTATTTTGGATTTCGATACAGTTGAAACCAACAGTCTCTTTGTTTATCCTTTTTTGTTTACTTTTATTAAACATTCAGTTTTAACCTATAACAATATTCGAACGATTGTCTTTTGGAAAATATGCATAAAAAGTGCCTTAGAATTTCCTAGTTTGTTCCTGCAAGCAATTATTCAAAACTAAGTGATTGTTTACCAAAAACACAGGTAAACAAATTGACATGCCCAGTGGGACCATTTTGTGCAAAAGTTTTAAAATTTTCCACCTTTTGTGTTTGTTAAATGTTCCTAATGGTTATGTTCCTAATTGTTCCATTTTCACAATCTCCCAAACAAGTGGTCCAGTATTGTTGCTATTTTCTTCTTCGTCTTTCTTGCGGTGAGAGTAAGATATCAAGCTATTAAATTAACTTGAATCACAAATCTTTGAAATTCACCACCGAGCTTTGATTTATCCAAAGGAAAGGGAAAAGATCAAAGAAAATCCTAAGTACACTATGTAACAAAAAAACTAAGAGAACATAAGGTTCGGGGGGGGGGGGGGGGGGGGGTTGGTTATACATAGAAAATGTGCTAGCATCCTAAGTATTTGTAGCACTCTACAAGAACCTCTTATTAGTATTTGTGTTATGATAAAGTTTGCTTGCTAAGGAAAAGGTGCTAAGGTAAAGACCTAGCGGTTTATTTACTAAGTATGATTGCCAAAACATCACATCTAATGCCTACGTATCATGACTAGGATGGAATCAAAGCATTCGTAGTTCACCTCACTAAGGGGATGAACTCTTGATAGTGATTGTAACAGCCCAATTTCGGTTTAACTAATTAATTTAGTTATTGGAATTATTTTAATTATGGGATAGTGTGATAATATGTTAAGTCTACATATTATGCTATTTTATCATTTGTAGAGTTTTGGAAAGTTTAGTGGGAAATATTTCGGACAGTCTCAATTAATGGTTAAGTGGATGATTTATGGAAATTGATTGGAATAATAGGTATATTGGAGGAAATAGAATGAAAGAAATATAAAGAATAGAAATAGAAAGAAAAGATATAAGAGAAAAAGAGGAAAGAAAAGGGAAAGATAGAAAGAAAGGGAGAAGAAGGAAAAAGGAAGAGGAAAGAGAAGAAGAAGAGGAAAAGAGTGGAATCATCAAGAGCAACTCAAAGCTTCGATTAATCCAAGGTAAGGGTGTGAAATCTTACTATCTTAATCAATATGTATGGTTATGTATGTGTATGGTTGATCGGGTAGAGTTTTGGAGAGTTTTCTATAAGCTTCCATTTTAGGTCGAAATTGATTCGATCGGTAGAAGCCGAGTTTTAATGACTGAAAATGAGAATAAGTGGTAGAATTTAGTCGAGGAATGTTAGACTAAGGCTATTGGAAACGAGTTGGGATTTATCGGGAGATTTCATCGGGTGTTTGGATTCTGAACAGTGGGAGAAAGTTCAGTCCGCAGACGCTCGCTAGGCGAGCAGGTCACGAGTGTTCGCTAGCATCTCGCCAGGCGAGTGCGTAGCGAATGGTCCTAGACTTGGGACAGTGGTGTTTTGGTCTCCTTCGCTGGCAGCGAATGGAGTAGCGATTGACTAGCTGGGGGTTCGCTGTGGCGAACGAGGTAGCGAACGAAGTCTGTAGCTTCTGTTCTTGCTTGCTAGCAGTTCGCTAGGCGAGAAGGTAGCAAACGTTCGCTAGCACCTCGCTAGGCGAGCGTGTAGCGAACATAGCAGAATGAGTCTTCTCCGCTGTTGGGTGTTGTAGTAGCTTGGGGTTCCGAGAGCGATCGACCCTTACTTGATTTAGAAGCTGGAGTGATGGTTCGTGACGTACTGTGGGTAGCCAATAGGCGTGAATCCTAGGTTAGGAATTGTAGCCGTTTGGGCAATTTCGTGCATTGTTTAATTCGATTAAAAATGCATAACGTTTGGACATGAATGATGAACGTGTCATGTAGTATACATTGCGGTGTATGATGTTAGTATATATTTGATCCCTTGAAGGATTTGTAGAACCTCGCTTGATGCGATGGTTATATTTGATCCCTTGGAGGATTTGCAGAACCTCGCTTGATGCGATGGTTACATTTGATCCCTTGGAGGATTTGCAGAACTTCGCTTGATGCGATGGTTATATTTGATCCCTTGGAGGATTTGCAGAACCTCGCTTGATGCGATGGTTATATTTGATCCCTTGGAGGATTTTCAGAACCTCGCTTGATGCGATGGTTATATTTGATCCCTTGGAGGATTTGCAGAACCTCGCTTGATGCGATGGTTATATTTGATCCCTTGGAGGATTTGCAGAACCTCGCTTGATGCGATGGTTATATTTGATCCCTTGGAGGATTTGCAGAACCTCGCTTGATGCGATGATTATATTTGATCCCTTGGAGGATTTGCAGAACCTCGCTTGATGCGATGGTTATATTTGATCCCTTGGAGGATTTGCAGAACCTCGCTTGATGCGACGGTTATATAGTGATTCATAGGAGAATCTGATGAATTATAGTGTAACCGTATAAGTGTGAGAGGAGTAAATTCTAAGAGAATCTGACGGACGAATGAGTCGGTACCGTGGTTGTAGCTGCATAGGGTCGAGGTGTCGGTCTCTATGAGTGCATTATCATCTTCACATGATGAATTGAAAATAATGCTTGAGAATGTATTAGTGGATGTGTATATATATATATATATATATATATATATATATATATATATATATATATATATATATATATATATATATATATATATATATATATATATATATATATATATATATATATATATATATATATATATATATATATATATATATATATATATATATATATATTTATTGCGTCTGGTATGTATGAGAATGAGGTCGATGTATATGTAGAAAGATTCTACTCACTAGGGTAGAACGGCGATGTATCGTTCCTAGTGAGGTAGTTACCGGGGTAGAATGACCGAGACGTTGTTCCCGGTAGAGCATAAGCGACGTACCCATAGTCCGGAAAAAGGATTGAGGGTAGTGAATGAGTCTTATATGAATCGCATGGTATGATTGCGATTGTCATATGTAAATATGCATATGTGCTGGAATTGATGAGATGCGTTAGCGAATAAATAAATGTGAAAGATATTGACTGATGAATAGACGATTAAGTGTGAGCGATTATGTCTATGTGTATTTAATGCGGTGAGTATCTATTGTTATGCATTGTAGTGAATAAGTATGAGGTATAGGCATTCGGTACTTGTACATATATATATATATATATATATATATATATATATATATATATATATATATATATATATATATATATATATATATATATATATATATATATATATATATATATATATATATATATATATATATATCTTATGCCTTGATTATTATGATAATGTTTCTCACCCTTCTGTTGTTTTATAATGCCCTACGAGGCATTGCAGATTAGGATTCGCTGGAAGTTTCCTTTGGAGTATAGCTCTTTTCCCTCGTGTCGGTCGCTCTGATATGTAACTTTGGGTAGATAGGCTTGTAGAATGTCTTAATGATGTTTTGTTTGTATGTGAATGAAGTTGTGAACAACCAGATGACATGTAATTATGTTTTGTCATGTCTTAAGTGAATATATATATATATATATATATATATATATATATATATATATATATATATATATATATATATATATATATATATATATATATATATATATATATATATATATATATATATATATATATATATATATATATATATATATATATATATATATATATATATATATATATATAT